GACCTTGATCTGAATGCAGTTCATATGGCATACCAAATCTAAAGAAGAAGTCACTAATAGCCGAAGCTACAGTTGTAGCTTCCTGATTTGGCATTGCATATGCCTCTGGCCACTTGGTGAAATAATCTATCACCACACAAATGTACTTGTTTCCAGCACGAGTTTGGGGCAAAGGACCAGCAATGTGAATGGCTGCTCTTTCCATTGGTGCATCACACGGTATAGCCAGAGACCTTGGCCATAACTAAATGTAGTCTTAGGTTTATCTGCTTCAGCCATTTTCACTTGATGGAAACCCGACTTTAAGTACAGAGTTGAAAACCACCTGGCTCCACTTAGGGCATCAAGAGTATCATCAATTCTTGCCAGTGGGTATGAGTCTTTTTCGGTTATACTGTTAAGAGCTCTGAAGTCCACACAGCAACATTGGGTCCCATCCTTCTTCTGAACTAACATGACTGGAGCTGACCAGGGACTATCTGATTTCTCGACTATCTCTTCCTTAATTAGGCCATCCATGACCTTCTCTATCTCTTGTCGCTTTGCTGGAGCTCTTCTTCTTGGAGGGATCTTTATTGGACGGTGATTGTCTGTGTTTATTCTGTGCTCCACAAGGTCTGTGCAGCCGAGGTCATGATCTCCTTTCGAAAAGACGTCTGCATAATTCGCCAAAAGTTCTCTAACCTGAAGAGCCTGTGATGATGACAAATGGACTATGCTCTTCTTATAGAGGTCAGTTAAATGTTCTGGAAGTGTATGTCCTTTCTTTATAATTGTATTTCTTGCTTTAACATTGAATGATTCTACCTCCTAGCACACACCCAACAATGCCCCTTCCTTAAGTGTCTGCTCACATTTAGAGAAATCTGCTACCGTTATAGGTACTACTTGATGACTTTCAAATCTGCTGGCCTGGATGGGTCTTCCACTGCTTCCACAAGCATTGGGCCTCCTTGGGGATGTTTTTTATTCTACCCCAAATTATCTTCTCTGACATAGGGGTATTGTAGTTGACTTAAGTGCTGTAACATGCAAATCAACACATGCAGCAACACTTACTGGAATTTGGCCTTTGTTGTTTCCAACCGTAATTTTATCGAAGTCAACTACACACTTCCTCGGTATTAAATAGTCCAACCCTAATATGCATTGGTCTTCAATGTCAGCCAAGTATATTTTCTGTCTGTCCTTTGTGCCCACGAGCTCAATAGTTTCCCACACTGGTCCCC